CGCCCCCAAGAAAAGGCGCTCGCACGGGACCGTAGCAGGATGTGACGCATATTTTAGTTGATCTAATTAAAACCGTTTTGTTTTTTATTTATGTGTCACAGTATCACCTCAAAATACAAGATATGAAACATTTTCAACCATGCAACAAAATATAAATAGTCCTACAAATACTTTTATTTCCTTCTTATTTTTGTCTAAACTCAAGGGAGCCAGAGCAGAGGGGTTAAAGGGCCGCATGCGGCCCGTGGGCCGCGGGTTGCCAACCCCTGGGCTAAAGCTAGCTGCTCTATGAGGCTACAGTAATGCTTTGAGTTAAATGCTAATATCACCTGATATTTCTTTATGTATCTGTCCTATCTCCAGGTGCAATGAGGGAAACAACCAGTCAGCATGTTGGAGTCCTTCAGAGTCGTCCCACTGCAACAGGCGTAGGGTCCTTCCTCAAGAGATGCAGAATGACCTGGAGCGTCCAACCTCCCAGGAGCTCCCTGGACCACCACCCCCATCCCCTCAGTCTCATCCACATACTTTCCCCCTACTGGAGAAGCACCTACCCATAGTGACCAACACTAACGGTCGCTCTGACCTGCTGGGGCGGGGGTTGGGCATAGGACTTGGGCCAGGGCAGGGTGGCTCCGGGCAGGGGACGACCTCGGGCCCATGCCGGGCTCTGGGTGCGGGCGACTGCGGCCCTGGGCTGGGTGTGGACAGGAAGCCGCTGGTTCAGGAGCTGTCAGAACTTGAGGGTCAAATCCTCGTTATCAAGCAGCAGCTGCAGACAGCAATGAGAAGGAAGCGAGAGCTAGAACAGTACCAATCAGATAACCAGCAAGCAAACCAGACTTCCCACAGTCAGCCCACTACTCACCAGTCTAACCAGTATACCCAGCCCCACCAGCAGACTAATCAACACACAAACACACTACCCGAGTTCTGAAAATGCTCTCCTTTGTTCTGCCTAGACAAATGTGATGAGACGTGGGACAAGTTTCCTAAAAGGTTATGGAAAAGGATCCTTTTATGAGTTGTGGAGATGGAACCTTAACCTTCTGGAAGTTGAATCCTCCTCAGGAGTTCCTCTGATTGCCCAACTGAAACGTTCCCTAGGGATCCTGCTCTGTCCAGTGGAAAATGTCCTGACTTCTGGAACGTGTGATTCACTAATACGACAGCCATTGGACAAAGGTGAACCAGGGACCCTGAACCAAATCTGTCCTCACTAGCGTGTTGCTGTCACTGAAAAGCTGTCCAAAGTTTCCTCTTCGTTACCCTCGCATTCCCCATTTTTTTTTTTTACACCTCACTGATCCCTTCATTTTTTTCCTTTGACTTCCATTCCTAATGCCCTCTACTTCGTCCTTCTCATCCCTTTCCTCTAAGCCTTGTCTCTTCAAGGGTAAGAGATCTGCTTGAAATGACGATAAGCTTGATCACAGATATGAAGACCGGTATTAGATATTTAAGCTTAATGGGCTAATTCACCTGAGTCTTATGCTGAGACTTATTGAGAGTGTAAATGACCTGAAGTTGAACCTATACAGTTAAGTCTGTATGGCCTTGCGCTGAAACCTTTTACCTTTGAGGAGGAAAGAAAAGAAATACAATTGCTGGTGATTGATGTATCGGTTGATTTTATTGATGACCTAATGATTCTTGTTTATGACAATGCAGCTTAGGTCATTTATTTCTCGTGCCACTTTTTGAAGGTCGTTGGGCATTTGCTATGATGAAAGAACAAGGAATCCAAATTCAGAAAGAAACGTCTCTATTCATCAAGAACATCTGGATGGCATCGTGTTTTGTGGATCACTATGTATGTTGTCCTGCATTTCACCGATGCACTTCTAGTTTTTAAAAGAAAGCTGCACCTGTGAGTCATCATTTAACTTGTCAGATTTTGATTCGTGGTCTGGATGGTTTTTGTCTTCAAAGGTTTCAGTGTTATAAACACAGGATCGGAAAAAGTATTACAGTCTGTTGTAATAAATACAAGAGTCTTTTCAATCAGGGATCCAAAAACAGGACATTTTTACCCACCATCTTGAAATCATACCGGTGCTCTCGCAATCTCTACCATTAGAACCACCAGAACTACTATTTTGTTTTTGGTGCAATCACAATGTTGATTAGTGAAAGTAACATAAACATGGACCACTGGTCAAACTCTGACATCTTATTTGAATATGATGATCACTCATAACCGAACACGATGAAACAGTCTCACTGTGAATTTTCTTGCGTCTTTTCAGTTTGAGTTTGGATGTGTCCAATTATTAAAAAACATACCTCTCTTCTTTGCACTTAATTGAATTGAAGCATTTTCTTTTTCTTATGTGATTACGTGTAAAAATACAACTTAAAGAAGATAACAGAAAGCAGAGTGTAGGAGGATAGTGCATACTTTAGTTACATTAGTTTTGACTTATTTTTGCTTCCATAACCTTGGAACTGGTAAGAATCTTCTCCTTTCAGTTCTCTTAAAACCTGATTTCAAAAGAAAATTATATAATTTGTTTTACTGACTTAAGGGATGTGCTTTCACGTAGAGGTAAATATTTTTCAGCTCATTACATCCAGGGTACACCAGTCAAACAGTGCATTAAGGATTTTTCTTACTGGAATATATTACATTTTTAAAGTTGGCCATTGAGATTCAACTGCAGTAACTAATTCCTTCTGATTTAAATAGATCCCATTATATTTTTTAAAAACACCCTGAAGCTCCAAAAAAACCCAGTGAGAGTTTATTTTTTCCTGCATTGACATGATATTTGGTTGATGCACTATTCTTCATTCATATTGCTAGGGGACAGCCATTTGGGCAGGAAAGCGTACTCAGAAGAGCCAAGGATGACATTTTATAAACACACGGCATGGTCAAATTCTGCCACACACACACACACACACACACACACACACAAGCAAACACACACAAAATCCCTATCTATTTATCCAGTGTGTCTGCAGGGTAAGCGCAGGCTGTCACAGCTGAAATGAATACCTGACAGAGCAAAAGAGCAAGTGCACTGGCTGAGCCGTCAGCTCTCTTTGGGTTTGTGTGTTTGCCTTGCTTGGCGGTGACATAAACATCACAGCACGAGTAACAGGATGAATCAACAGAAAATAAGATCACGGTTTTAGCGTGTCTATGCTCATTCTAGCATGTGTGGTTGGACAGTAGGGTTGTATGAAGAGGAAATGCCTACCTCATTGAATATACAACTCAGCACACAACAGAAAAATGGGTCATATTAACTTTTTGGGGTCCTGCCTCAACATATGTTTGCTAATCCATTTCTTCTCATTTGTTCTCAGAGGCAATAACAGGAGGTAATCAGGCTTTCTGTTCACATTACACGCATTAGCGTTTGTTAGTACACAAAATAAATGTCAGGTTTTTTTTTTTTTCAAAGACAACCCTGAAGGTTTTCTGGTCCTCCCAGAAACTTTCATTATCACAAACTCATCGCATCATGCTTGAGTACATATTTGAAGAACATTTAAAGGTCTCCTATTATACTCTTTTTCATCAATATATTATAGGTCTCTGAAGTGTTTGGTTCAAAATACCAAACAGATTATGCATTGTAGCATCCCATAAACCCCTCTGTTTCAGCCCTGTTTCCAAAGTGCTGATTCTCGTTCTTTTACTTTAGATGGAAATAAGGAGCCATTCCCAACGCCCCTCTGAGAGATATTTGGTTAAAAATAACACAATAGCCGCCTTCACACCAAGTACTTTGCCGTACTTAGTTCCCAGCACTTAGTTCCCAGCACTTAGTACCCCCCATGGAACTAAAGAGCCGATCGCGTTCACAGCGGAATAAGTTCCCTGAGGGAAGATTACGCAAATGAAGCCGCTGACGTCACTTCTTCTTCTGCTTTGGGTTTACTGGCAGGCCGCAAACCACTTCACGGCGTATACTACCACCCGAAGTCCCCGGAGTTGGGGACTGGCTTCCGAGGAAATCGCCAGAACGCCGACCCCTCCTCATCACTCCACCGCTCCCATGTTTTTTATTGTGTTGCCATAAGTTATTCTCTCTCCGTTGGTGTGCTGGGCTAATGCTAATGCTAATAATGCTAATGCCAGCAAATACAATGGCGGCTTCAAAAAACTTTTCAGTGTTTTACAGGCTGTGGTTTGCAATTCGCCCAGCCAATCATAAATTGGTACTTGCTTCTCCCCAGGATAGTCCCACCTCTCTAGCAGGCACTAAAAATGGGGGTAAAAGTTCTCTGAACTAAGTGCTCTTTTTGATGTGAATGCAAAATTCCAGGCACTAACGGAACTAAACGGGAAAAGTACGGGTAAAAGTACTCCGGTGTGAAAGCGCCTATTGGTGCTCTTGGAGGAGATTCAGGTGATAAGGTGGGGGGCCAAAAAAATCTGCATGACAACATAAAGTGGCCAAAATCTGATCAGCTCATTTTCAGACAGGTTTTTATATAAATGGATCAGGACAAAAAGTGTGTGAATCTTTCAGAATCTCTTTACACAGAGGGGACACATGTTCATGTATAAAAGACATGAAAAAGTGAATTTTGCAATAGGTGACCTTTAAAGGAAGGTATTTTTTCCACTGAACCGAGCCCTTAGGAAACATCTATCGCTCAACTGTGTACTTCCAACTGCACCCTATAAATGTACCATCCTGCAAATATTCCCTCTGTGTACCATTCATTCTATCTAAACAATTGTTGACTTTACTCCCATTCACTTCTATTGAAACCATTGATGGCTTTACTCCAATTCAACTGAATTAACCCACGACCGTCAACTGTTGAGCAATTGACCCTGAACCCTGTGTATCAGTGTTTTTGTGTGTGTCATCCCTAAGTATAGTACAATATTACTACGAAAACCAGAAACTTGTTACAGATTCAAGGCAATTTTGTTCAGCAAAATGTGATAGTATGTTAATGTTAACACACCTTTAGGCTGTTGATGTAGATGACACATGGTTTGAGGTTAGGTTGGATTTATATTCAGCAGAATAATTATGGTTGGGCTGTCTGCACACACAACTCCGGGCACACACAATGGAGGTAAAGGAAATAATTATCTAATACAAATTCAAACAAACACAAGGGCAGACTTTTTTAGGCAAGGTAACTTGGCAAAACTGGGCAAACAGGATGGAGTCCTGCTCTCTGCCCTATTCATTTTGTATTTCAGTTTGAAATTAAAATTGGAGAGGATTGAAGCTGTTGTTTATAATAACCCACTATCAGCCGTGTCCTCGCCCACAATGTTTTATAAGATAAACAAAGTTACCACTTTCCTTCCAGCACACAAAATGAATAAAGACACAAGAGAACACATTGTTGCTACTGACTATTTAATTTGTGGACAAACCAAGAAAAAAAAAATATATGTTGCATTTCAAATGAAACGCTTTTTTTGTTCTGAAAGTAAAAAGACATTGATAATCACAATGATAATGAGCATAATTGAAATCATGAGTATCTATAAAACATCTTGACTTCTCTCGTCATGCTGGGCGTATCTTCCAATGGGAAATGGAGTCACAACATTGCATCACAATCCACTGGTGGGTTGGGGGTAGTGCCTCGAGGAGGAAAAATGAAACAGGAGTCATTAGCCTGGTTTCCATTAAAAGGGCTAGCCGGGCCTCGAGTAAATCACTCTGATTTACTCCAAAGAGCACTTCTGTCTCTTTTCCTTTTTTCATGTATTTTACAAGGATGTATTTCACTGGGATTTGAGTTTAAAGTTATTCATACAGTCATACCAGAGACGTCTTCAGTTAGATCTGGCACAGGCTAGCCCCACTGGACCTCTTCATAGAAAGAAAATCTTATCAACATCACAGTGAATCAGGAAATTGGGGTGAAACGCACTCATAATGAGAATTTCAACCAATCATATATCATTGTGGCTGATGGCATGACACTTCAAGTGCCAAACCCCGTTTACTGACTCTAAGGATGTCGCTGACTCTTCCTTGTCGCTTCCTCCAACAGGGAGAGGTAACGCTCCCCATAACACCTAAACTGATACCAAAACATATCCAGGTTTACACAGCAGGCAAACAGGTCCAAATGGATCATAATAATCATACAGATTGACAAAAATCTTTACAAAATATGACCTGACACGGTCAGTTAATGTACAGAGAGAGATAATAAAAAGAAGTATTCTGTCTTTTTTTCCTGTACAAATGACAAACATCACAGAACAACAACATCAATATTTTTTTCCATAGCACATTTTTTCAGACTGAGGGGGAATAGATGTGGCGATCGACGAGGCAAGTCACCTGACAGGATGTGATGTAAGACAGAGTGAGTTAGCCAACAGGAAGTACGCAGGTTTAACACCGTCAGGATAGGCTACAGCACTCGCTCATACAAAATGTACAAAACACCGTCCTCTAACTACAAACAGCACACCTTGGAGGGAAAAAAACGTCTGATGTTTCAAATAGTTTCAATATCTGGAACAAAAATCTGTGCTTAAGTTTGCTTTGTGATATTTTTGATGCAATGGATGTGCCTTGGCAGGTAGAATTGAGCATAGCCCAACTTAATAAGAACCATTAGAAACATGGTGCATTTAGTCCCTCAGGTGATTTAAACAGATATATCAGCAGTGTTTTTTTATTAAGCATTCGGAGCCACGTGGCATGCGTCCTCGTCATTGTGTCTGGAAGTGCTGTGGAGACGCAAACGTGACCCGGTGCTGCCCCCTTAGTCATGTGAC